CTTAACCTTTTATTTTAGTCCAGTAGTTTGAGCTTTCGTAACAATACCCTTTCCTTAAGAGATTATTGTCTTCGAAAATCCATGTAAAAATATGAAAATTGACCATTGAGTTCTTCGTGACAACATGAGAATTTTATTGCGAGTTGTACATAATGAAGACCCTTCATCTGTTATTCATCTTTTGGCAAACAAATCAAATGGAGCTCTCTTTGGCACAAAGAGAATAGCCTTGAACTCCACTTTAACCTTAATTAAAGAAATGTTTAACAACCAAACAATCATCGTCAAGCTTTTGTGGAAAGAAATATACTCTTTCTTGGTGATCTTTTCATGCCTGCACAGCCAGATAGATTTATGTTTGTTACAGAACTGTCAACCATGAGAATCCTCCTTGATCTTCTTACTCTTGGATCCAGTCTCTTTTTCCTCGTCAACTTCCTCAACATCACCCTCCTCTTCTTTCTTTGATCCGTCATCCACATAGGTGTCAGCTTATTGCACCATCACGCTAGAATTCTCAGTCTTTTCATCAAACTCTGCATTTTCAGAAGATTCAAAAACCAATTAATAATAAGCAACATTCTTTTTCATTGAAAGAATCAAACTTAACTTTAATTTTTTGAAAACCCACTTCTTGTTTCTTTCCAAAACTAATTTAAAGAAAACAAATTTACCTCCTTAAAAGTATTTTGATTTACTGTAATAAGTTCTTGATGTGATGAGAACTAAACATTAACATTCCTTTCTCTTATAGTTGGATGAACATTTGTATGGTATTTGAGAGCATTGATACCCAAATAATATCTTGTATTTGAAGGAGAGTCTAATTTCAGCACGAAGCAAAACAAGCTTTTTTTATAAACCTGCAAGGACGGAATAGCTAAAGCATGTCATTTCAGAAATCTAATGCCCCACATTGCAAACATGGATAATTTTGAAAAGTCTAGTCATTTTCTAGCAGCCTTCCTTGAAAGAAGTTGGACTTGGTTTGTCCTGATTATTGGCTTCTTCTTTCTTAATCACTACAATGATTTCTCTAAGCTCATAATACATGTCTCACAGATGTTCTTCAAATATCTTGTTGTGTTCTTCCATAGCTTTCATGTTGTTTTCCACCATGCTTGTTCTTTAATAAACATAGATTCTTAAAGATCGGTCAGGGATTGTTGGCTCCAATACTAATTGTTAAGCCTTAACAAATAGTGGGTTTTAAGAAGATTTGAGGAAGAGAGTAGAAGAAATTGAGAGAGATAGAGTTAACAATTTGTACAGAAATATTGTTCAATCTTATTGCCTAATGAACATGTTATTCTCTGTAATGTTTTATACAATTCATTCCAGCTGCAAACCACCTCGAACTGCTACTGCTTGCAAGCTTATGCTACTAGTGACACTGCTTTGCTGCTCCAGCTTACTAATTCGGTAGTTAAAGCTTTCATAAATCATAACATCAAACTGTTATTAAATCTAATATTTTGAATAAGAAACATTAGTTAGTCCTTTCATTTAAAAAAAACCAATATTGAATTCCTATATTTTTATATTTTGTTTTGCAACTTAATCCTTTATTTAATTTTTTTATTCTTAAATCTTTCATATCTCTAATTAATTTTCTCTATATCTTAGAACATCAACTACCGAAATAAAATACAATAGAACCACAATTAACAAGGGAAATTCAAACGTAATAAAGAACGTATCTTAAGATACCATCCATCTATATAGGTAGTCTCAAATTTATTATTATTGATATTTTTTATATTGATTTAACTCTTAAATTCTCAAAAATCTAAGGAATTTTATTTATTTTGAAGAATTCTCATCCATATTTCCATTCAAATTGTACCCTTTTTTAATATAAAAAACAATATTATTTGGTAAAAACCTTGATATTTTTTATCAAATGATTTTAAGAGAGTTTTTATTAAAAAAAATACTAAAATTAATATAAAAAATAAATTTACAAGACTACCACAATGGTTTTGCATGTATATCTGAGGTTTGTTAAAAAAGAAGAAGTTACCAATCAATTCTGGAAAAGGGATTAATTCATCATTTGCAAAATTATAAGTACTAAGTTAAAAAATGTATAAAAAAAGCGACCAATTATCTTCAAAGTTCAACCTCAGTGTGTTGTCTACAGACCGGCGTTGTTGAGAGATTGAAGGGCAACTAGTGACTTCATCAACCCGTGATCTGACTGCTTGCAAGTTGGAACCTTTCCTCAAAATCAAAACATGCAACAGGTAATCATTCGAAAAACCCCTACAAAACCCTACACAGCCTCCTTTTTTTTAATTATCTTTTTTTTTTTGGTTTAATAAATAAGTAAATAAGAATGAGTTGAATGGTTAAAGGGTGGTGGATCTGGCAAGGAGGTGACTTGGGAGGATCAACAGAATATCAACAAATTTGGCAGATTAAACAACAGATTCCACGAGCTTGAAGACGAAATTAAGATTGCAAAGGTACCATCTTTTTTGTATATTTATATGCCTCTAATTTTACTCTGATTAACTCTTTTCATTTATATGGAGATGGGTTTTCAGAATTATTAACAAGGGCAGCTTTGGTTTTGTGTTTTTAATCGATGGGTTTGTTTTATCATTGTTTTTTGTTTTGAATAAGAGGTTAATATCTTTATTGAATATTATTGGTAGATAAAAAAAGAAAAGAAGGATTGTTGATTTTGGTTAATTAGAGCGGCCAGCAAATGGAGTTTGTGTTTAAAGGGGTAAATATGATTGATTTGAATATGAATTGTTAGCCCGATTTTCTGTCTTGGTGTTTTCATGATTAAGAGTGGTGTTTGCTTGTTACGGTAGAAGGGATTATGCAAATTTCAGGTCAAAAACGTCTTGTGCTTGCAACCTAAAGTGAGCTGCTTGAGCTTGTGCTGAATGTTAATGAGTGTTGGGGTTGCCTCGTTTATCTTGCAATGAATGGACTTGAATGTGTTATTTTGAGTAAAGATTGTTAAGGTTGGTAAATTCAACACTGATGGATGCCTGAAGGGTGTGGGTTTGGGTCTCTCTCTCTCTCTCTCTTTGTGCGCTCGCACGTGCTTTTAATGGGAATTGAAGTTAAGACTAAGCTTGTGAAGATTCTTAAGGAATTATTGGTTCGTATTTATCTTATCCGAGCTTGAGTGGTTTGGTTTGTTGTAGCATTGAAATATGTATTACAGGCAAGTTGTTGAATCTCTTTTGGTTCAGTTTTCTTTGATTTGTTGAGCATGGCAGTAGACTGTGCTCTTAGAAAATTAAGTCGGAGCAAGCGGACTCTTGTTCTTCTAGGCCAAAACCAAAGTTAGTGAAACAGTAAAGTTAAATTCCAATCTTCCTCTTTGTTCCATAATTTATTTTAAAATCAAGGAGGGAAAGGAAGAAAAGTTGGAATAATTATTTTCTTATGATAATATTCTGGCTGTGCAAAAATTTTCCATCCAACATGTATTAGATTTTGTGGAAATTTTTTAAGGAAAGGTAAACTCCACATCAGAGATTAAGGTGCATTCTCTATGTTTTGATTTGCACCTTTGTAACAGATTTCTCTCTGTCGCACATGTGCGGCGTCACAGTGATCGTCCACCATCCGGGAAAAAGATAATATTTTACCCATTTTTAGGGCGCGCTGAGATCATTTTTTTCACTATTCATGTTTTTGATAATATTTTTTGATTTTTTTGATTTTATTATTTTTCATGCGGGGGCCAAAAATAAGTTATGACACTCTTCATAAACAAGCGGAGAAAATGTTAAAATTTCTTGCCTCTTTCCCCAACATGTCTCTTTCATTTGCTTCCTGTTTCTGAAATTAAACATAACACGCTGTTATAAGATTTAAGAAATGCTGAACTCCAGAAACTTTTCCTCAAATTTCCAATGGGCTGTTCAGATACTTTACCACCAAGGTCCATCCAGTCTAATACGCTTTGTGCAAAAAAAGGATTATATCATTTCCCTTCACAGATTTTTTTATTCTTTACCCATTTCCTTGACTTAATTATACATGTAGCTGTTGAAATTTATTGTAAATAAACAAAACACAAGTGTTAGCATTGTTTTTCCTTGCTGTCAAGTTGCCATTAGTAGTGCAACAGCATGGATTATAAAGAGTGAGGCCATCATTAGCAAATGGGAGAAAAGCTATCTATGTTGGCCTTGTGGGTTACAGTTAGCCTAGTTGGTAAATTTATTTGCCACTGTCTTGAATACCTGGAATTGACACCCATGTAATCTGGGATGGGAGGGTTTGAAGGGAGGAAATGATGTGTCTTGTTGTGTAACCCACCTCTTGGACCTAAGGTGCCCCACATCGCACCTGTTCTATAAACGCATTTGTGGATGTATAATTTTGTTTTTGTATCCTGGTCACTTCCATTCTTAGTTTCTTTACTAATACAATAGCTCCTTTTCTTCAGGAAACCAATGATAATCTGGAGGATGCAAGCAATGAGTTGATTCTTACCGATGAGGAGGTGGTTCGGTTCCAAATTGGAGAAGTCTTTGCTCATGTTCCAAAGGATGAGGTTGAGACCAGGATAGAGCAGATGAAAGAAGTGACTGGTAAGAACTTGGAAAAACTTGAGGAAGAGAAAGATTCTGTGCTTGCACAAATGGCTGAGTTAAAGAAGATTTTGTATGGAAAGTTTGGGGAATCCATCAACTTGGAGGAGGATTAATGAGGTAGGTGTTTATTTTCTATCCTTTTTCTTCCTCGGCAGCTTTCTTATTGATTTACTATGTTATCCATGGAAGAAGTCTCTTGTTCATCGGTGAAATATCAGGGAAATTAAATTCCTCGAATGGTTTTGTTGGATATTTCAGATTGTTGTGTAAGCTACTTGAGTATAGATGCTGTATTTTTCTTATTCAGATGCATCTGTTATGAAGTGATCCATTCTCTTCAAATTTTGATATTTATGTCTCCTTTATGTTAAGTTGGTTCGTATTTTGCTAGTCATTGGGTTGCTCAAGAGTAGTACAAGTCCCAACAAATTTGAAGTTCAAGAATCCTTCTAGCAACAAACTATTGACTAGGGACTTGCTAGGCAATCCGTAGGAGACTTGCAGAATCTTCCTTTATATTGCTTGATGCATGCCCATGCTTAGATTACATCCGCAACAGAAAATATTAGAAAATGCTAATCAAGCATATTGGACCGTTTGATCATAAGAACACGGCGTTTTCTTCCTATCCAAGTCACCCATTGGGGATCGCTTGATACCACTTTGTAACCTGCATTTGTGTATAGCTTTCGAGCACCCATATCATCTTCATATGCCCTGAGGGCAAGACATTCAAAACCCCATAGATGGGAGAGTACATCACAGGCTTTTAGCAAGACACTTCCTATTTTCTGCCGCCTGTTATTATAAGAAATTGTTAGCCACTGCCATAACATGAAAAAGCAGTTATTAGATGATAAGATCCCTGACGGGATTGAATGTTAGAACCTGAAACTTTTGGAAACAGCTATCCCTGAAATATAAAGGTATTCATCTGCTCCTTCAAGGTGCTGTAGGACATCTTTATCTCTTAAAGCTGTGACATCCACAATGCCCACCAGTATCCTTTCAGCCTCAGCGACCAAACATGCATATCTGTGTTAATGTTAAGATAATCATCATGTTTTCTGGCGATCAATCAGCCAAAGCACCAATCTGACCTATAAAAGAAAAATTAAAGAAAGGTTTTAATTCTTTAACCACCTGCAAGGCTTGAATGGTTCGCATGCTAAAAATGGATTTCACATTCTGAGGGCTTAAAATCCTTTCTTAGCAATGTTTCATCATTACAAACTTATACATATTGTTCCATGTAATTATCATTTCTTGATTCAGTGGTTTTACCTGTCTGGAGGTGAGTTCTTAAGCTTGTAAAGAAGCCCCGAGAGCACTTCAGCCTGCGTGGTACAGCAATGAACACAGCAGTTATGAAAAAGGATAATAACAATATAGCTATCCTTTTCTCGTTCTTCCAATGATAATTAAAAGGACAGGGAAAAACCTTGAAGAACTCGAAGAAAAGGTCATCACAGAGAGCCACTGGTGTGTGAAATGCTTCAGCTTGAATTTGAGCTACTTCCCTCATCTCATCTCGATTCTCAGCTAACCTCCTTACTTTCCATCCAAACTCACTCGCCAAATACTCAAACTGCTGCTTCTTTTCTTCAACACTACTCCTATCTTCGAGAAACACTTGCTCAGTTGCTTCCGCAGCTGATGTAGTTGAAGATGTACTACGACAATGAACGATACAGCTACCACTCCAGCCCACATGTCTGTCGATCGGTTGGCCGACTTTCTTTCTGTTGCTCGCAGTTTTCCAACTTCCATGATAAAGCCTGGATCCTTTACCGGCATACCAAGGTTCATTACATAGACTGTTTGAAATCTGCAAATAGCAAAGGCGCAAATTAGCCATTTTTTTTTCATTTGTGTAGAGAAAGAGAGAATGCGGTCGCGAAAGAAGGAAAAAAAGAGCCAAAGAGTCACAATTGGTTACAAGAGCTTGTTTGTTTGGAACCATACAAGTATATTACATGTGGAAGTACCTGAGCCAACCACGTGGCGTTTAAGATTTGCCGCCAAGTGATTGGTCTCTCTATCCAGAGAGAGCCATCCCTGTCCCAATTCAGACAACTTACTACAACGGCTTCTTGCACAAGCAGAATTTGTGGTAATTACTCATTAACAACAGCCTTTTTGCCTCGAAAGCGCGAGCTACGACTCCTAAGACATTAGTGGTTAGCAATGGCTCCAACGCCCGAGAGACACCTTCGTTCTTCGAGTTTTTCGAGGTAGGAGATGGGATAGGATCGAGCTAATTGGGCCCACATTCCCTCCCAGCAAACAATCATCACTGTGAGCTAACAAATAGCTGGAGGAATATCTGCACCCACACCCCAGCCTGTATCATATATCATTCACAACTGAAGCACCAATCAAACTGTTGCAGACTTCAAGATTGTAGTAGCTACAACAAGTTAATTAAACTGTTGCAGACTTCAAGATTACTTTGACAAAAGAGAATCCCATTGTCATATTTTATGTTATAAAAGTTGAACATTATGAAATTGTTGGGTAAACACTATATTACCTTCAACTCAACCTCAAAGCAGATAATAACTCAGAAAGGACTGTTCTTTTCTCCCCCATGCCCTTTTGTTTTCCTCAAACCTGGTTAACATAAAAATTGATATTAAACTTAACTCATGGTTCGACTTGACATGAAATTTAGGTTATGGGTTAGGCTTGTTCAAATTGATCAAAGTCAATCAAAGAAAACAAACTAGATTTTTATCAAATCTTAAGTTAATCAATCAATTCTGAATTGATTTTTTTTTTCCCATCAGATTAAGTATCAACCTGTCAAACTGAATTTAATAACTATGAACCTAAGAGCACGTGTAAGATAGCAAAGAGAAAAGTTCTCTTTTAAGTTCTGGATGCCAACCATCATGTCTCCGTGTATATTACAGGAAGCCAACGCATACTTCCCCCCTCTAATTTTTTTTTTCCTCTATTGAAGTTCCAGGTTAGTCTTAACACAGAACAACTGAAGAAAGCTGACCCCTCAATTTAACTCAAGTGGCAGAAAATGAAATATGGTTTCACATATTTACCCCCTCTGAATTTGCCTATCCTTAGCAAATAACCTCATAAGGATAGCAAGTAGCAACTCAACATAGAAAACTTGCTTGGGATGATATGCTTTGTTCTTTAAGTTATCAAAGGTTGGAGATAGAAATGGATGAAGCTAATTGGGCTATTTAAGTGGCCCCTCTCACGTTGTGAGCTAGAAATAGCAGGAGAATCATTATGCCCCCATGTCTCAACCTAGACCATCTCAGAAGAGGTCAACTCGAAGCCAACCTGTACCACAACATGGAATTATTGCGGCGGATACAGACATGCCGACCACTTTGGGCGGGGACGGAATTTACTAACTTCCATAAATTTGAACCTTTCAGAGGGAAAACTTGATCCCGCGGGGACCACTTTCTGCTCATTTGGATTGTAAACTCTGTTGCAAGTGGCATGGGCTAATGCGCCTAGACCTCAGCCAAAGAACAGAACTTCTGAGCCGTGTTGCCTGCGCAAAAAGCAAAAAGAATCGATGCTTTTTATATTGCCAGCTGCAGCAGTTTAAAATGTGGTTGGCCACGTTGACGACTGGGCCCCCAAACCAAAGGTTCTGGTCCCTGTGGATCCAGTTGTGAGAACAAGAATCCCCTGGTAACTAGAACCGTGAAAAATAATATAGGGAAGTAAACTGGCTTTCCCTCTAGCTCAATAAAAGCATTAAAACCCAGTATTATGAGTAAAGACCTGGTTATGCTACTCAAAGAGATCTTGCTCTTATAATGTTTTTGAGCAGAAGCCATGACAATCTTGCAGAATGACCAACATACAAAGAAATCAAGAAACTATCACAGCACTGCAACTGGCCACAATCAGATATAACAAGTCTAAGCAAATACTCCAATATAAGAAGAACAAGAGACAAGAATTTTTAAGCTGGTTAATCATCTCGATGATTCACAATGTACTAGAGGAAGAAATAGAAGTTTCCATAAACAGTAATTGAAACATACAAATTAGTAATCACACTTGAACGACTACAGCAAAGTTAATTACCAAAGTATAAAAATTCTACCAGAAACACACAAAAACCACCTCCTTGTAAACGGAACCAACCAACACGTTCCCAATTTGATCTTTAACAACCAGCAATGTCACACAATTAAGAAGTTACAACAAATCAAAAATCCCAAACTACATAAACCGAGTCTCTGATCCCCAATTCCACTGTTACATCCTCCACGTCTTGTGCAAAAAACCTCGATTCAGATCAAGAGTCCACCAAAACAATATATGCTTCAAATCAGACCAACACTCACCAGAACCAACACTCAAATCCGAGTATAACCCATTGTGGGTCGCAAAGGCTGACTACCAACAACCGAAAGCAATCCACCTTCAACAGCACTTTCCTCATCAAGAAACAAATCCTCGGTGCCCCTAAACGCGGCATGAACTCCAACAATCACCACCCCAATAATCAAAGCAATCAAAACATTCAAACCCACATGAGTAAACACCAACGCCAATATAGTAACCAATCCGAGCACACACAAAACAACTCTGTCATCAAGACTTTTATTGAACACCACCACAGGACCATCACGTCCGAAATAAAGAAACAACCACGCCACAAATATCACAATAAACACAATCATTGAAATTGGATGCCACAAAAGACTTAAAAACAAGATTGCAAGACATATCATTGCATAATTCACACGAAAGTAATTGACGTTGAATTTGATGCGTGAAAGGGCTTCATTATAATTGTTAGGGCTAATGAAAGATGATAACTTTATAAGTTCTTGCCATGGACGGCGCGTGGCTATGAGGGTTTGAGTTGAAGTGCTGACGCGTGAGATGAATGTCAGGGTGGTTGGTGATTGTGGGGATTGTGTGGTGGTGGTGGTGGTTGTGGTTGCGCTCATGGTGGAGGGGATTGTGCCATAACCTGCTTGTGCTTTTCGTGACATTTTGGTGGAGGGTTTTTGTTTGGATCTTGAGGACCGAAAGAAAGTATTTGGAACTTTATGAGAGAAATTTACGATGGGTTTTAATTTAGAGATAGAAAGGTGACAACTTTATGGTAAAACAGCATATTTTTTAGGGTTAGGGTCTCTGTAGAATTCTAAATTTCTGGGAAGACAATTGAGAAAGCAGAGAGAATGAATTTCCTTTCTTAAGGGAAAAAGAAACTAAGAACATCATGTTCAAAACGATGGTTTTATTTAATTACAGTTGTGACCCAATAATTAGTTTCGTGGAAGGTCCAGGATTTGAGCTTAATCCACCATCGAGCATGGACACCAAATTTTGTGGAAATTGACAAGCTGCTTCTTCTTTTACTCCTTAGTTTTCAGTTTGGTACTTTAAGTTTTGGAAACTTACAGTTCAATTGAGTAAACATGAATAATTACTCTCCAAACTCACTTTTAATAAAAAATAATCAAATCCAAGACTCATAAAATCACTTTAAAAAATAGTTATTCCGGAGCACCGGAAAAAACCATGCATCAAGGTGGCACTTTCTTATTCTTTGTCGTCAGCTACATGATATCGGGAATGAGAGAATTTTTTTTTCTGGAGAAAATCAAGGAGAAGAAAATTGTCTGCAAAAGAAAGGGTAAAAGAAAATTCTGATAGTGTTGAATTTCAGCTAGAAAACTCGTACAACTACAAAGAAAAACCCTACCAAAATCGCATGGAATCATAACAAAACCGGAAAGAATTCAACATAAGAAATTTATGCCCCAAGTATCAGTTTGTCTGGGGATACCATTTCTACTCTTTCTTTACATTTCGTTTTGCTTTCTCCCCCACAGGGATTTAATACAACTAATTTGCAGCTTCTTGCAGAATATTCAGGCAAGAGAAATTCCAGCAAAGCTTTCATCTACTACTTTTGCAGTCCTTCACAGTACTAAATGTATTTGCTATGGGCACACATTATGATTTTCCCTGGTCTGTACCATGAAACTTTCTCCCAGCATCAACTGCTTCCCTGAATGAAGAGGCAAGTTGCATGGTTACGAATAAATTTAACCAGATAAGTACAAACAAGTATCAAATCCCAAATAGTAAAAAAAATATACTGCAGAGACACCATTTGAATCACAATCAGAAGTGCTTGTATTCTATGTTCATCATACAAATTCATACCTCCATCCCTCACTGATCACACGAAGGAGCTGAAATTTCAACTGGTTTTCAAACAGTTTTTTTCCTGTCCTAATGCAGTTTTTGCCAAGTAATTTGCATCTCTGCAAGTTACCGAGTCAATTTTCTCAGTTAAGGATTCAGATTCCATAAGCTGATACACTAATATCTTGACTTGAATGGAAAGAATACAAAGTTTAAAGGATCAGAGAAGCAATGATTTGTAATAAAGCTCTTTATCACATACCTAAAGGATTTCACAAGCTCCTTATTTTCAGGGTCAAGCCTCACACCCTCGTAAAAGGAATTTGCGGCTTCTTCAAACCTCTGCAAGTAAAAGACAATCAAGAAATGCTACACAACATAAATCACCATAACACCCATGGAACAAAAGGAAAAAGAAGGCATGCCTGCAACAAGCGGAGAGCTGAGCCTTCCCGGTACCAAGCTTTTGACCAATCCGGTTTAAGCTCTTTACAGGCCCTTGCATCAGCTAATGCTTGGTCAGGTTGCCCCAAGCGCATCCAACTCAGGCTTCTATTCGAAAGCACGGTAGCATTAGTGGGATCCAAATCAATTGCCTGCAAATGCACATCAACCTCTTATTCAATTAATATCCAGCAAGCTATCCAATAATGATAGTTAGTTAACACCTAGGAATTCTTCAATTTCAAGGATAAGGTATCAAAAAGTTAACAGCAAACACCTAGAAAGAAACACGTTCTTGTGTATTTCTGGAT